GAACCCTCTTTGTAAGTCTCCAGGTTTCTGCTCCTTAGCTAAGTACCGGCAAGATACAGCTGTTATATACCTTCCTCTTGAGGGATAGTGGCACTCTACCTGTTATAATTTGAGAGTGCTTGCGAAATGTGCTCCACCATATTCTTATTCTTCTAGTTACTTAAATCCCGTGGTTTGGCTCCGTGGTTATTACCTACCTGAAGTAGACATAGTCTTTTACAAATTGAAGTGCACTATTACTTATCTCGAAGCACTGCTCTTTTCCGAGGTTGTTGTCCACTACTTTCGTTTTCTGCAGATTAATTTTAAGACTCACCTTTCTGCTCTCCTTGTCTAACTCCGTAATCATGAGTTGCGATTCGTCCCCTGAGTTACTCAGCAATGCAATGTCATCAGCGAAGCGAAGGTAACTAAGGTACTCTCCATTAACTCTTATCTCTAACTGTTCCCGTTCTAGGATTCTGAAAACCTCCTGTAAGCACGTGGTAGACATATAGCGTTATCCATTTGGCACCCATCACCATCGTATTGTACATATGAAATCGAAGCAGTGGAAAACCACGCAGTGCGTTTCATGTCATTCCCACACTTACCACACATTATAGTATAGGTGCTTTGAAACGCACTCTAGCACTTCCATCCCTTGAATCACGTTGGACAAATGCCCGTCCTTGCCTAGTCCATGTTTTATGTCATAAGACGTATGCTTCTTATATCACCCGTACGAACATCGTAAAGATTGGCTCACACATGTCCCATTGCACACATAAGTGATCACACTGCGTCGAAGAATAACTCCATTTTCCCACACGAAATAGCCTTGCGAAACATGCTACATAACATCATTGCATGCTTCCTGCTCAGATCGAGAAAAATTTCGCTTAAATCTAACCTGCGATTTTGTGTAATAGGCACCTACCATAACCTGTTGAGTTGTCTTGTGTACGCAATGCTACATTTGTTTCTCATTTCCTTTTGGTTTTGTTACCAGTTTAAATTATTTTACTTTTTTAAACCTGCGTATCTGCTATTTTTGTTACAAAATGAAACTACCATATTATGTTGAATTTTTTCTTGTGCATGAGCCCGGTATTACAATTATTTGTCTCAATTTTTTTATTTTTTATCACCAATTACACTCATTGTATTGTTCACATACCTGTGTATGCCCCTCCTCCTTATGTAATGCCCTCGGGCCCTTATGGTCAAATAAATGTAATGAGATGAAATAAAAAAATGTTCCTATTCATCTATCACAGCTATTTCCTTAATAGTCTCGACGAGGCGAGTAACCAGGCCAATCAACTTCGTAATTATTTCTCAGTGAACTCGCTTATCACTTTTAACGGACCAAATAGTGCCGGCAACGCAACGCTGCCCAATTCTCATTGTAGATGTTTCAGCTTTTTTGCGCTGGCCACAATAATGCCTACCGCACCGATACTAGAGTGAACCTAAAGAATTCGTTTGCCATCATTCGACGTTCAATAGCTTGAGACAGGTTCTTAGGTTCCAATTTTTATGCCTCGCGAAAAAAAAAAGCGCACTTTGGATATTATACCACAACGTGCACACAGATCCACTTTCTTCAATAAATCATCAATAGAAACAAACGTTGAGGAATGCAGGTTCATCTACACGGGAATTGTTTTGCAATATAGCTTAAGTTGTATTCACACGATGTATCAAATCGTGATTCGAGCCTCCGGATTGCGTACTACGCCATCATACGTCAGCCGTACCCGCGTTTCCGCTTCCGTTCCTGCGGACATATTCGTGAAACGACGGAAGCCAAAATCACTGTTGGGTCCTCTGGGACCAATGCCGAAATCTGCGATTGATTGTAGCGTGAATTCTCCTCTGTCGTGTGAATGCTGGCTGTGGAAAGATCCAAACAACGTTACGTGTCGCATGACTGATCTGTCGGCTACCACGTCCGTTGTGTGAATAAAGCTTTAGAAGTACTGCGAAAATCAGCATGGGTTTTTTTCCCATGTAAAGTTGAACTTACTAGCGTCACTTTTTTTTAAGAACAACTAACAGATTCCCTCTTAAAAGTATATTTACGTGATCTTAGCAAGAGTACATTTCGCCCACGTTTCCTACACATCAGTCAGGGCACGTATACATTCCTTTTTCCGAGCCCAAAGAAATTTAGAGCTCGTCAGAACATATTTGTATTAATTGAGAAACGGCGAGAGAGCTTCAGCAGATGTCATTCAATATTTTCAACATCTTAATTTTTGGAAAAAATATACAAAGGCGATGTTTATAAGCTAGCTATGCCTAACACTACCGTGCTATATATATTTTATATTGTTGTTATATATGTAAAAGTTTAAAAGAAAAATTGAATGCGCTTTCAAGGAGAAGAAAATCACATAGATGGTTCAGAGTGCTCTTGATGAGAAAAGTATTAAGAAAAAACTTTAGATGCTGTGGACGAAGGTAATGCAATTGTACGATTAATAGGAAAGAAGTGGCGATGTAGAAAAGGGTGAGGGGCAAAGAAAAATAAAGGAATCTGAAAAGTATTCTAAGGCACTCAAGTAGGTTTATCATAAAAGATTTATAATGTCATGTTTTGCCGCTCTAACAATATGACAAAGCTAAGACTTCATCCCGAATTTTATTTACCTTCGTTCAGAGTCCACAATAAAGAATCGGTGCGTGTTTTATGTGCTGTGGGCCTTTGGTGAGTATGTTAGGATTGCGTATGCCTGCTACTCAAGCAGGGAGTGAGCTATAGCCAACGTTTGTGTTTGCCCATACGAGCTTGCGGCAGCACTATGCCTTCAGACTTTACAAACTTGTTCAGCTACACGCGCGAAAAAAAATCAACAAACTGTTACTACAACTAGGCTAGAATAAAAGAAATTCAGGTATAGAAGCACGTATCTTCAATAGTCTTATACTCTGATGCACTTTATCTTTAACCTGATGAATATTTTAAGGTGGGCTTTACCTGTCTCCTAAGGAAATAATGTGTATTATGCGGATCACGTGAAAGCCCCTGCAGCTCGTTCGCGTTCGCGAAAGGCGAGGCATTTTCTACTAAATTGAGTTGTCCAGCGTGAATGCCATCGGAGGTCGTAGGTTTTCGCGTGGCCTCGGTTAAGCAACGGGGCTGCATCGTCTGCAGTCGGTGGTTCGTGGTGACAGTGAATAGTGCAAAAAAAAATTACAGTAACGACAAAGACTCCACTCAGATACTGACAATGCGAATTATCGGTATTGTTAAAACATAAATTCAAGAGCAATACATGTTTCACGAATCGTGAAACCCTGGCCTCTTATTCGGCCAAGCGTACGCCGATACTTCCACAACTGCAGAATTGGGTGATACAGAAGAGCATTCGACAAACGCCGCTTTCTAGCAACAGAAAACAAAGTATTTATGCAAAAATAGTTTTCATGTTGTGCATTCCTACTCCTAATCATCCTAGGGGAAAAAAACCTTCAAAGTTCATGGTTTTGTTGTGCATGCTATTGAACTTTCTATGATCCAGTTTTCTCGGATACACTTTGTACTATCCAAGGTTATTACATAAATATTTCACTATCTATGTTTCTTTCATACATTTTATACTATCCAAGTTTCATCGTTGAATATTTACTACCCAAGTTTTTTTTTTTTTTGCAATACAAGCAGGAGAAGATTTGACAGTGACAATCAGCACTATTAGCGTTCGCGGGACCTCCATTTATGAATACTAATGCCCTAAGCTTATGAGCCCTACGACAAAACATCTAAAACCACTTTTTTTTTCTGCTGCAGTGTATGTTGTGCATCATAATTGAACGACTTACATCAAGGGAACATTAACTCACTCAAAACATTTTCAGGACGTAAAACTTTAGGCAAGTGTTGTGTTTCGGCGTCACACTGAATTTTATGGCGATAATAAAGTCTACCACGCTAGTGAAAAACAGTGTGAAAGACTCTGTTTCTACTCTAGTCATACAGCAAGATAAAGCGCATTATTTCACAGCGCGTAAACCCAACCATCATCAAGTCTTGCTAGGGAATACGCAGGTAATATTTTATGAAAGTATGTATATAAAAACGTCGGGTGGTGTATTGTACTTTTAACTTACTCATAAAGACACGAGAACAAGTTCATTAAGGACACAAGTCTTTAGTTAGTTTTGGAACCAAATGAGCTCGATGCGAGCTGCGACAGTGGGTACAAACACAGCATCAAGTAAAGAGGAATATTAGAAGTGTTATATTTTTTGCTGCACACGGTGGCGTCGGGGGGAATACTGTAAATGTAATAATTGCTCAGAAGGAGTTAAGTAAAACAGTTGATTATTGTGCCAACCTGACAGGCGTGGGCGTAGCCAGGGGATAGCACACCGGCACGTGCCACACCCCTCCCTCTGAAATGCTTTTTCGCCATGGCATAGAGACCAAAAAATACCCATCTTAAAGGGGTGCCCCTCCCGAACAAGATTTCTGGCTACGCGCCTGCTGGCAAGGGAGTGGTTAATGCCTACAATACAAGGCCTATAATAACAAAAATACTCTTTGCTAAATATTTTTGTCAGAAGAAACTTCAGCCAGTCAAGATGTCGGGTTTTTATATAGAATTCGTAACGACTCCCCACTGAGATACTACCGGCTGCCATGCCCTAAGGTAACAAACAAAACATCGCAGTGATAGGGAGGTAGCTATTTGAGAATTGAAAGTTTTTATTCAGACTCTCGGTACAAAACCGTCTGATTTCACTTTACCCTTATAATAGTTGAACACAAGACGTCAAACACAAAAATACTAAGAAATCACGGCTCGCTCTCACTTGAATGAACGAAGTATGGGAAGTACAAAGCTACGGAGACATTTCCCGCTATCTTGGTCGATTGTTGTTTAAAATGCACATCCGCTCAACGTTCTACTGATTCGATAGCATGTGTGCCAACACTCGAAAAAGGTGGCGTTTTCGGCTGTTTTGCTCTCACGTGATTTCGCGTACATCTTTTCAGTTTAAAGGCTCACCTATCACACAGAATGGGCTTCGCAGGAAGCGTAGCCTCCCCATCCACCCTTGGTACCTGGACCGGCAGCCTGCCGACCACAGCCGGCAGAAAAACTCGATGGTGAACCAGATGACCATCACGATCTCCTGCAAAAAAGAATAAAACCATGTGTTAAAGGACAAAAGGCTAACAGGAAACATGAAAATATAGGAGATTAGGTACTGCCTATAGTGGTAACGTTCCCGTAACTGGGGAAAGTGAGTAGACTGGATAAAACATGACAAGAAATAATGTATAACTAATTTGCACTATAAGAACAGAAATATTATTAACTGCTACTGACAACCACATGTGTTTAGTATTCATGTGCAACGAGTAGTTGAGAAATCAATTATATTGAAGGTCTGAGGAGAGTTTGCAGGTTTACTTCGGCAATTACTTCGATGAGTTAATATTCTGGGTATTTCTCTCTTTTGCATCTGGGCTACGACTGTTGTTAGCAATTGAAATTTCACATAGAAATCACACACGTCTTTCATTACCATTGAAAAAAATTGCTCTTGACATAAGCCTGCCGAAATTCTTCCTATGCGTCAGTTTTTGTGACAGAGTCAATGCGGGTAATGTTTTAATGCTCTCCGTTTCAGTTATAAAGAAAACATAGCTTGTTCGAAGTATTACACAGCACTCGTAATGCTATTGATCATAAAACAGCGCACACGCATGAACACAAAGTAATACTTTTATGTGTGTGCACCCTCTTAAGATGTTAATGTATCAACTAACCAAAATAGCCACCTCGCTCAAGCTCTCTCTTGTATTCTCAAGCTGGTCTGGGCTAAATGCTGTACTTCAGCTCTACATAGTACAGGTTTCCTACACTTTGCTATAAGAAATAATCGCTAAAAACATTTTTTGCTACAAAAACTGTTGGGAAAAAGAGATTATGGTTCCGAATCTTTTGTTCACCCAAAGCTTCAGAACATCAAAGACGCTTTAGAGGAAACAAATCCACGATTCACATCTGTTGTATTTTGCTTGGGCATCTGCTTATAAGTTCAGAGACGTCTTTCGGAGACGTGTTTTGTTCCTTGCACCCACGAACTTATTACTTTTTAGAGCAAGCTTACAAGTAGATGTGACTCTATGTGTACTTCAAGGAGTACTTCAAGCACTACTACTGTGTCATACGTGTGATATTGACAATGCTAGGGCACTGTGCATATCAGCGGGTGTTAGCGCGTTGGACGGCCCAGCTAGATAGTAGATACCAAAACCACAAGCCGAGTATTGTAAAATGCTGCATGATGAAGGCGTGTCTTCTTCAAGATCACCCTCACTGAAAGGAGCCCTCCTAGCCACCTAAAACGTTTCTGCCAGATGCTCATAACAGGGCTTCAGACAGGAAACGTAGACAACGTCAAGCCCACGCCAATGATGTCATACGACCGAGAAACTGGCTTGATAAGAAAGAAACTGGACAGTTTAGACCTAGAAGCACAATTGAAAGTGCTGCGAGTTGGTTCAGATTTGTTGCTTTTAAATTGCACGGATAGATTGACACGAAAAAAAAAAACGCGATGAACACAGGATGGTGTGCGTCATCCAGTGTTTATCGCCTTCCTTTCGTGTCAGTCTTCTCGCGCAATTTAAAAGCAACTATATCCGGAACTCGGTAGCGGCCTTCGTACATTATAAGAAGCTTGGAGAAGAATTGCAGCGTTTGGCATGATGCACATAACTACACCAGATACTTGGGTATATTGCTAGAGTTTGGAAGTGTGGAGGTGTGGCTTTCTTTCTGGTGATGCTGCTTTTGGGATATATATAATTGCGGGTGAGCTGGCGGCATCCATCCGCTCGTCGAGCAGTTTCGCAGGCGGCTGAACGCAAGGAAGAATACAGGCAGCAATGAAGCATACGTTGTCGTCCGCCTCGGTGGAACAGTGGCTATAGTGCTCGGCTGTTCGCCCAAAGGTCGCGGGTTTCGTCACAGTCGTCACGGTTGCGTTTCGACGGAGGCGAAATGGTTGAAGCCCGTGTACTGTGCGATGTCGGTGAACGTTAAAAAATATCATATATGGTCAATAATTTCGGAAACTTCCACGACGGCATCTCTCATAATACGTATTGGGGTTTTGAGGCATGAATCACCAAATATTAATAATAAGGAAGAAGGGTATCTTTTGTACGTAGACAAAAGCGTCCGTACAGGAGGAAGAAAGATAAAAATGTCCATTTGTTTGTACTACGGTGTTTTAAGTAAATGTTGCGTACGGTACAAGAAGGTCCCAGTTACTATGGTCAGATACAGCGTACAAGAAGTGAATGATGTTGTATTCTGAAAGCATAGCTTCATCGAGATGAAAGTGTGACTTCGGCGACAAAGTAGTCCTAACGATACGTATAGTTTGAAGTGATGTAAGACGAAATATCCCACACCTCGAGTGGTATAGCATTCGGTAGAAAGGATGTTTGAATGACTGATATGTGGGGTTTAACGCCCCAAACCACCATATGATTGTAAGAGACGCCGTTGTGGAGGGCTCCAAATTTCGACCTCATGGGTCGAAATTTGCACCCAAATCTGAGCACACGGGCCTACAACATTTCCGCCTCCATCGGAAATGCAGCCGTCGCAGCCGAGGTTTGATCGCGCGACCTGCGGGTTAGCAGCCGAGTACTTTATCCACTAGACCACCGCGGCGGGGCGAAAGGATGTTTCGACTTACTATGTCATATCACTGAATAACTATAATGCATCGACTGCCATTGGAGGCCATTGGAAGGGGTCGCAGATGTGAACGCCGACGTGATCGAATGAATTATTAAGGTACGGAAGCCACTACAATGCACCAGTTAGACGCCTTGGCCGTCAGAAAAGCACTGCACAAATGTGCGAACGAAATTGTACATCTCACAGCAGCAATAGCGATGGCTAAGGTGCTCGTATGTCTTAACCACTCCAGCGTGGTCACATTGTGGGTCATCAAGAAGGCAGCGGCACAACTATGATCGCAAGCTGCGTGAAAGTACTAACAGCTACTGGCAGCCATTGGCGCCATCCTTGCGGCGATGAAGGAGTTGACCGCGGGCAGCGAAATCAAAAGCTTGGTGTCAAAGGGTCGAGACACACGATGGGTTGATTTGCGTGATAGGCAATCAAGAATGGATGCGATACACAGCTCACTGGGATGTTTGGCGGCAATTAAGTCGACATCGGAAACGAGAGGTGATGGGTGCAAGTGATTGCCCATGCTGAATATGGAGCTGAAGCTGAACGAGGCAGACAAATTGCGCGAGAGCTTTAAATCGCAGTGGTATACAACGTGAATATCGTACTCCTGGAAACAGAGTGCTCATTATGGTAGTTGGCCAGAATGCCCTTTTATTGTGGTGATAAAAAAAAGGTACACCGAATGGCCGGCAGTTGTGGCCACCGGAAGTTCTGGTAATAAGTGTGGCAAGCGTTCACATCTGAGTAAAAAACTATTCCTCAGTCACGCCGTAACTACTTTCAGCTTTCATACGCGTGCGAATTGGGTAAACAACAGCGTATCCGGAGTAACCGGCATTTCGTTGAGCACGGACAGAGCTCAACATCGCGGTAATCTCTGTCTACTTCGTTAGAAGCTGACGGATGAAAGTGGCGAAGAAAAGACTGGAAGCAGATCACGCGGTGCAGCGTATTGGAAGTAAACTCATATACAGAAGACTAAAAGGAGAGGTCTACAATGCCGTTAGAAATCTATATATGTCAATGGTGACATGATATTTGCGAAATTTCAAAAAAACACCGCAAATACGAACATTGGCCTACAAAACTACGAAGTTCTTACATGGTTGTCCGCTTGGGAAATTCCGCGACTGCGTGAAGCTTTGCGTAGTGGCCAACAGCCGTGTTTGCGAACGATTTGGCTTAAGATAGTGAGCTCGCATGCCGTAATGCAGTATTTCTTGAGGTTAAGTTCAAGGCTTGCATTATGTCAGAACGTGTATATGGCAAAGTTAGGCTGTAAAGCAATCAGGCAAATAAACAACGAAATCATCGAAGTCACAAACACTAACACAAGATTTTAGACAACTTAGCACAGTGTCCGTAAGCCGTTCAGATGTGGAAGTCACAATACAAAGCCTAAAGAGCATCAGAAAAAATAAATAAAAGTGCTCCTTAGGATAAATTCTAAAAGCATTAAAATTATCCACCATGATAGCAGCTGTTTTTTTCAGTAGATTGCTTCCTTCTTTGTCAGCAAATTGCCTCAATGCCGCGAAAAAATTATTATATATGATATCGAGTATAACTGATCCTCATTTCTACGGAGAAAGCAATACCATTGTTGTGGCTATTCTGAAGCAGCGAATGACGCCATGCGCATTAATATTAAGTCACAAAAGAGTCATTTGCCTACACGTTTTCAGTTCTCTTAACAAGTATAAAATTGCATGAAATTTCCAAGTGGCTTTCTCACGGACAATCCATCTAAGCTGTGGGCTTATGCATTAAAAGTAGCGAGTTTTCCGGAAGTCAAATATAAAACTAGCGCTTATTTAGGTTTATGTGCATGTTAAAAAAATCCTCTGACAGTCAAAAATAGTGCAGAATCACCCACTACTTCAAGCCTATAAATATCATTGTTATGGCCTGAAAAACCCCGTGGATATTTTTACAGACATGCCTTTCGAATACCAACGCAATCAACACACTATGGTACTCAGCACCAACGCCGCTACCGCCGAGAAGGGCGTCTCCCATAGTGCCTAGTAATTAAAAGCTTTAAACATCCATATACGATGTTGTTTGGAGGATGCACAAAAGCTAGTCAAAGCATCTGCAAATCTTCGTTGCGTACGAAAAAAATGACAGCATATCCACGGGGTGAATGAAAGAGAGCGGGGCGAAGCATCCGTACGTCCATTCGTTCTTGCCTCCGTCCGTCCATGTGTCCGTCTGTGTGACCGTCCATGCATCCATCCGCCCGCCCGTGCGTGCGTCTGTTCGTGCGTCCGCATGTCTATTTGTGCGTTCGTTCCTGCGTTCGTCCCTGCATCCGCCCCCGCGTCCGTCCATGCGTCCATCCGTTTGTGCAGCCATCCACATATTTGTCCATGCATCTGTCTGTGCGTCTGTTCGTCCATCTAGTCA